GTAACAAACTTACTAGGTAGTATCTAGTTAAAACATGTGACAAACTTACTAGGTAGTATCTAGTTAAAACATGTAACAAACTTACTAGGTAGTATCTAGTTAAAACATGTAACAAACTTACTAGGTAGCATCTAGTTACAACATGTAACAAACTTACCAGGTAGCATCTAGTTAAAACTTGTAACAAACTTACTGGGTAGTATCTAGTTTTGGTTTTAAGAAGTTTTATAATTTTTATTTAGTATTTCTATAATTTTCTAATAATTTATAATTTCCAAGATTTCTTTGTTAGACACAGTCGACACACTATATACTAGAGTTTATCCCTTCAAGTTCACACAGACGACACACTATGGTATATCCCTTCAAGTTCACACAGTCAACACACTATGGTATGTCCCTTCAAGTTCACACAGTCAACCCACTATGGTATATCCCTTCAAGTTCACACAGTCGACACACTACAGTATATCCCTTCAAGTTCACACAGTCGACACACTACAGTATATCCCTTCAAGTTCACAACACAGTCGACACACTATACACTATTGATGTGCCTGCATTTAAACAGATTTTTAACCAATTGATTAAATTCATTAAAAAGTATTAGAAATCTGCTTGATAACGGTTACAGTTTTAATAACAAAGTTATTCATATAAATACTTAGTCTTACCAATTTTCTGTGTTTGGATGATTTTATAACCATTTATGTTTATCCGGAGATTTGAGTCAATAAAATAAGTTCCTATATTATGTGTACCCCACAAGTGTCATAGAGTACAGTATTTATGTGCCTATATTGTGTGTACCTCACAAGTGTCATAGAGTACAGTGTTTATGTTCCTATATTATGTGTACCCCACAAGTGTCACAGAGTACAGTATTTATGTTCCTATATTATGTGTACCCCACAAGTGTCAGAGTACAGTATTTATGTTCCTATATAATGTGTACCCCACAAGTGTCATAGAGTACAGTATTTATGTTCCTATATTATGTGTACCCCACAAGTGTCATAGAGTACAGTATTTATGTTCCTATATTATTACTGGATTTATGTATATTTTAAAAGTATTATTGATGTTTCACTCGACTACTTACCGTGCTGCAGCAAATTCTTTGTTGATCAGTGGCTTTGACTTTTCCTTCTTTTCGTTTATCTTGGATTTGTTACTTGAATTACTATCAGACTTTTTACTTGGTGGCACTTCTCTGTCTTTCTCCTTCGATGTTTCTTTCTCCTTTTCCCTGTCTTTTTCTTTCGATACTGGTTTTGGCTTGTTACTTTTTTTTAGCTATAATGAAGAAGACTTTATTACTAAAAGTAATAGATTCTTCCACAAGGTAGAAAAATATTTTAAAATTTCAAGATAATTTATCATTAAAGTTTCTTTCCTGTATCAGTATTGATACTTCATTCGAAATTTTCATAGTCTCTAAAAAAAAAAAATCCATTAGTAGAAATCAAATGACTGGTGTGGTAACTATTGTACCTGACTGGTGCCTTACAGTTCCTTCACAGTAACTGTGAGAGAAAAAATTACCAAATTTTTACTGAACACAAGCATTCATGTAAGCTACAGCAATAACATTTAAATAAATAATATTTGAATAGCTTCAGTCAAACTTGTAACATATATTACTGTTGTAGTCCTGATACTATTTCTTCCTTAACTTTTACTAACACAGTTCACAGTATCATAATTTCACTTACTTGTTAATTCTCTCATCATATAGAACTACTTTGTGTCTAAACACAAACTCAACTAACTTGCTAACTCAATAATCAGTCCTCCTCTATTCTAGCTCGAGTCATTTCTAGTCAATAAGTTGTGACAAAGATGTATAAATATAAAGTACCTTACCTGAACTTTACAGCTTACACACGTCCATTTTCCTTTTGGTGGTCTAGAAATATAAAAAAAAAAGATCTGAAACATCATTTCCTAACTAGTGCAGATACACATTACATTACAGAATTAAATATGAAGTAACGTGAAACTCTAAACTCTTACCTTAGTAGTGGGGGGTCTAAACAGTCAATGTGGTAGGTTTTGGGACACAGGTCACACCTTATTAGTTTTCCCTTCTTACCACAAAGAACGCAGACTTTATCACCAGTGGCCTGAAAGAAACAGAAATATTTAGCTCACAGGAATTTTTACGAAGAACTTCAGAGTTCAACAACTTTAGAAATACCTTGTCGTTACTCACATCTACTCCCTCAAAGTTAGATGTGAAATGTACTTTGTTAAACGCATTAAAATAGGCGGTATAAATGCTTTTTCAGCCAACTATTAAGTCTAAAACGTCTTTCTGTATTGTCTTCCAAACGATAAACAATGTATCTTATATAAGTAGTAAAGTAAGCCTGTGCTCACCTTGTTCAGACACTCGTAGCAGTACCAGTCCCCATCGGGTATGGTCTCCATTTTAGGCTAAACAAAAATTATACAGGCATCGTTAAACTATTATAGTATAAGATTATATAAGTTGAATGAAGTGAAGGAAAATAAAAATATAATTAGAAAATAATAAAGTTAGCCAAGTATAGCACAGTTCCCTGTTGACAACCTATAACTCCGGGCAGAAAAAATATATTTCAGTTAAAACAACTAGCAGAAATGCTGCTCCACAAGCACTGTTTGTGCTAGTAATTACAATCCTAGTATTCATACCTCATTGAAAAAATTTAGAAAAATTGAACATTTTCTAAAAAAGGATTTTTCTGGAAAATAGTGCAAGGGAAAAGTGTTCGGATTGTGCTGATATAAATTATAATGTTTTCATGTATTAAAAGAGGTATCCTTTATTGAAAAAATAACATTTTTATAAACTCCAGTTTCTCGGTACTACACTTAAAAATTACATCAAGAAAGATATAATCAAACCCTTACATACAGTCCTAATGAAAGTCGTGTTATTGTTGTGAGCAAAGTATTTATATTTAAAGCTGTGTTCTATTATACAGAAATGGTTGTTGTCCATACTGTAGTTATTTTTCTAATTGTCTGAATCTGGAATACCCAATGTGTGAAATTTGTTATGGATTTTTGTTTGTGGTGCCATTCGGTCACATACATAGATAAATACATATGTACACGCTACATCCATCATAGTAAGACAAAGATTAACTTGTAAGAGAGAGAGAGAATTTCAACGTGTATTAGAAAGTAATAATTAGCATATTAATTCATTACAGAAATAAATGACGTGAAAGACAAGTATCAGAACTATTCCTTTTAAGAAACAATTAATAAATAACTTTACATTCATGCAAATTAATGTTTTGAGTTCATGTGATATTTTTTTCTGTTTTATTTGTTTGTGGAGAGCCTAAAACAAACATCTTAAGAATGTTTAGCTTGTTACTAAAATGTTTATATTAAATTTATTTGTAAAATATTCCCCTATCTTTCAAGTTATCTCTATAGATAGATCATTCTTAGAGACGACAAACATATCCAGCTTACCTTGAAACAGTACGTATGGTAACCTTTATCACAACCGTCACAAAGAAGCAACATTTCCTCGTTAGCTCCACTGTGACAGAACTGACAGCTCTAAGGAAACATGAACAAATCATTAAGTTTCTAGCAAGCAATAAATATCACCAATACTCCAAAAACATAACTAACAGGTCAAGGTTCAAAACTTGCCTTCTTTGACCTTTTGTTCAAGTCCTCTACATTGTAAAAGCTCTCATATGTATCTATTAGTTCTCATTCCAGATATACTCCTCATGTGACTCGTGGTCTCTAGAGAAAAAGCAGGTTTAAACTCCAGTTACCAGGACCACCATCTGCTGAGGCTTGGTTGGATTTTTTAGTCTCTATGTTGGTGGTATCTCAACAATAACTAGGGTATATATTGATATAAAAATTTTGAAGAGGGGAAAAAAAAGTATTTTCTAATATACTTTTCAGAACTACTAAAAAAATACTAAGACTACACCACATCACATTATACTAAATTGTTTAAGCATCAGATTCATTGTGAATCCATAAATTGTGTCTAAAATCCCTAATAATTTCCAAGTACAATATTAATCCCACTGACAACTGCTAAAGGTTTCTTATGCCCTTTACATAAAAAAGTTATGATTTAACACCATCTGTTTGGACAGCTCTTGTAACAATATAAAATCATTCAACATGATGCAACGTGTAAACCTCACCGGTAGTAAATGACATGTAAAAAAGGTCAATTATTGGAAGGTTAAACCACTTTGTTTGTGGGCTCAAACTTACAGCTCGCATGATGGACTTATCCCATGCTATACATGCCTCCAGCATATTTAGGCACATTGCCAATTGGTCCGCGGTCTGACACTTCTGGACTGATGCCCTCCAACGGAGTAGCCCTCTTGGTAGCTCTTCTTCCCTCTCCTCAGCTGTTGTAGGGGGAGGAAGGCAGCTGCTGCAGCTGTTCCGTGAAGACAAGTTCAGCTCCGTGCTGTTGATAAACCGACAAGTCAATGTTGAATGAATTCATTAGAGCTTTCAAGAGATTATATCTTATGCATCAAAGACGTGCTCATTAATGAGGAAAAAAAGTATGATAAAGTAATCACTACAAATTGAAGTATCCGGTCCTTCAAAGGTGATCCAAAAATAGTCATAAAACTATAAAATATACATATATATAGTGTATTAACTTCTATTGAAATAACAGTCAGTGTCATCTAATATAGGACTGGTTTAGATCCTTGGAAAATATACATATATAGTGTACTAACTTCTATTGAAATAACAGTCAGTGTCATCTAATGTAGGACTGGTTTAGATCCTTGGAAAATATATATATATAATGTACTAACTTCTATTGAAATAACAGTCAGTGTCATCTAATGTAGGACTGGTTTAAAACTTTATATTTAATGAGATATTATTAGAATTAGAATTACGATAAAAACTTACACAATACCAAGAGGTGGCTTTATATAACGTCTTTCAATGGCACTTTCAAGTAATAAAAGTCTTTCCTTAGCAATATCAATTGGATTTACATCTCCAAAATTGATGCTAGGACTACTGGCCACTTTTTCAATGTTTTCACTTAGTTCACACGATTCTTCTTTATCTTCAGTGATGCTTTTTGTTGTCTCACTTTCCATTTTCTCCTCCTGTGATGAATTTTCCTCAACATTACTTCCTTTCTTTAAATTAGCATTCTCACCAATCTCCATAGAAACATATTGTTCCTTCTTTCGGTGCTTAATTCCCTTTTGATAATAAAAGTTCGAGCAGTCTTGTTCTTTTTTTGGCATCAGACAGGCTGCTTTGAACTTTATAGTAGGGTCGGATGAGAGCCTTGAAGGAACTTTCCACCCCTGCTGTACGTAATAAAATTACGCTCACATTAAATATAGAACATACCTAAAGATACACTAAAGTTTTTGGGTTACAAATATAAAACAAGATCAATGGGAAAACATCTACAAATTATCTTCTGTGGTTGTGATTAGAAATAGTCCTGGTAGTTCTTTAGAACTAATGAAAACGTTATACAGTAATGTCACATACTGAACCACACCATCACTGTCCTGATAGTTCTTTAGAGTAATGTGAGATACTGAACCACCCCATCACTGTCCTGATAGTTCTTTAGAACTAATGAAAACGTTATACAGTAATGTCACATACTGAACCACCCCATCACTGTCCTGATAGTTCTTTAGAGCTAATGAAAACTTTATACAGTAATGTCACATACTGAACCACCCCATCACTGTCCTGATAGTTCTTTAGAGTAACGTGAGGTACTGAACCACCCCATCACTGTCTTGCAGATCTTACTATTGTATGAAAACTCACCTTCATTTGCATACTAGCTCGGGCAACTTTTTCTTCCATATCTTCTATCTGTTCTAAAATAGCCAAGTCTACACGCAGTGAAACCTCTGGTGACCACTGGTCTTCCTTGTCGCTATCTGGAGCACCATCTGGCTTTGTAGAAATTTCTCTGTCTGTATCGGTAATTTCTAAATCTGCAGCTGAAGAAATAACAAAACAAAAAGAAGAATTGTGACTGTAAAAATATAATATTTTCCATAGTTTAGTAACACATCCATGACATTTTTAAAGGTTGCCACATCACAAAGTCATATGAGTCAACAAAGTATAAACTGACTCCATGACATTTTAAAGGTTGCCACATCATAGAAGTCATATGAGTCAACAAAATATAAACTGACTCCATGACATTTTAAAGGTTACCACATCACAAAGTCATATGAGTCAACAAAGTATAAACTGACTCCATGACATTTTAAAGGTTGCCACATCAAGAAGTCATATGAGTCAACAAAGTATAAACTGACTCCACGACATTTTAAAGGTTGCCACATCACAGTCATATGAGTCAACAAAGTATAAACTGACTCCACGACATTTTAAAGGTTGCCACATCACAGTCATATGAGTCAACAAAGTATAAATTGACTCCACGACATTTTAAAGGTTGCCAATCACAGTCATATGAGTCAACAATATAAATTGACTCCACGACATTTTAAAGGTTGCCACATCACAAAGTCATACGAGTCAACAAAGTATAGATTGACTCCATGACATTTTAAAGGTTGCCACATCACAAAGTCATATGAGTCAACAAAGTATAAATTGACTCCACAACATTTTAAAAGTTGCCACATCACAAAGTCATATGAGTCAACAATATAAATTGACTCCACGACATTTTAAAGGTTGCCACATCACAAAGTCATATGAGTCAACAAAGTATAAATTGACTCCACGACATTTTAAAGGTTGCCACATCACAAAGTCATACGAGTCAACAAAGTATAAATTGACAATTCAAGAGAACTTCCACCATCTTATTATTATTGTTGTTATAATACTAAAGCTAAATATTATTACATTTGACTTTTGCACTCCAAACTAATTATTATTTTAATTAAGTGAATGCAAAAACAGTCTTTTAAATTTGTAGTTAAAATTTTATTTTTGTTTATATCAGAACATTCCTGAGAAACACATTCTTGCCTGACTGTTGAGCCAACTGCACAAAACCTTTCATATTTTCTTAACCAGTATTTAATACACAGAGTATTTACTGAACATATACACCAGATATAATAAAACCAGATTATCTGACACACATACAGTTTACTGAACATACACACCAGATATAATAAAACCAGATTATCTGACACACACAGAGTTTACTTAACATATACACCAGATGTAATAAAACCTGATTATCTGACACACATACAGTTTACTGAACATATTCACCAGATATAATAAAACAGATTATCTGACACACACAGTTTACTTAACATATACACCAGATATAATAAAACAGATTATCTGACACACAAAGAGTTTACTTAACATATACACCAGATGTAATAAAACAGATTATCTGACATACAAAGAGTTTACTTAACATATACACCAGATGTAATAAAACAGATTATCTGACACACATACAGTTTACTGAACATATACACCAGATGTAATAAAACCTGATTATCTGACACACATTACAGTTTACTGAACATATACATCAGATGTAATAAAACAGATTATCTGACACACATTACAGTTTACTGAACATATACATCAGATGT